AAAGGAAAGACTCTTAGAAATGGTGAAAAAAAATAAAATACAAAAAAGAGATGAAAAAATAGATGAGCAATAGTAGTACGGCGCATTTTTTCACAGTGGATTTTTGGCTCAACGTCAAGCTTTTTGACGCTACAATGTCATCCAGATGTGAATCATAGCCGGGAATGTTCATCACTCGGTAAATATCGGGTTGTGTGTGTGCCACAACAATTTGTACGGCTACGATAAGAATACCCACGGCGCCGCTTTTGGCAGACGCTCCGCCAAGGGTATAGACCCACTCAAATAGAACTACGACCTTTGAAGTTCAATGCCGAAGAAACCAAGCTGTAGCCCCACAATACTATAAAAATAGCTGCTTTCAACCCTTTTTTGTTTCTTTATAGAGTAGAAAAGATCAAGATCAACCACATCCACTGTAGTTACAATTTTTGCCTTATTTCGACATCAGCATGCTTGCGAACTCAGCATAAAGCATTAGGAAACTCAGATATGACACAATTACGAAACTTCTATAGTTCTGTTGGATAATAAGACGGACTACCTTCCTATCTTGTACACATTGAAAAAGAATTCCTGCGCCAAAGATTTTAACATAATTCATACAAGGAATTTTTGAAAAACACTTTTATCAATTTTTTATAATTTCCTAACATTTATGGTCTATATTGTAAATTTTTTAAAAAATTTCAAAATTTACTCAAGACGAGGTAAGAAAATCAAAAAAACTGAGTTTCATAAGTAACAACATTGGTTCAGGGCAATTTTTCGTGATCAAAAATAGGTTACGATCTAAGCTGTTGATACCCGAATTTATCAGACCCTTTAGCATTTTTCTACGATTTTAATAAAAATATCACGCTTTGAGTGTTTTCTTTAACAATTTCGCTGCGGTTTGCCGACAATATTTGCTTCAAGCGGCATTGGAAAGTGCATTGATTTGTTTCCTTACAAATCATTTCAAATTTGGAACCGTAGGAGATCAGGAATTTCATTTTGGATGCGAGCCAAAGCGATGACTTGAATTTTCTATTATGCAAGTACTTGCGGTTAAAATAAAGAGGATTAAAAGAATGTAATAGCGCTCAGAAGGGCATAACGATGGAAATGATGGTTATACAAAATAGCGAAGTTGCGAAACAGACAAATAAGAAAAGGGTGAAACATAAGTTTTACGAGTAGTTCTTCTGCTATTACTCAACCGAAATTGCGAACTTTTGCGACAAAATATCATATCCAATGAGTAGCTTTTTTTTAGCATAATCAGATATCAGGAATAAAAGAAGAACAATGACTGTGTAAACTTGATTTGGCCAAAAATGCGATTATGTAAGACTCTTGATAAATAGCCATTTAAAAAAATAGCATTCTATGAGGGTATTTCTGCGATTATTGATGAGTGGTTTTCTTATATTCTTTCGTCGTATAAAACGTTTTAGAAAGCCGAGAGAAATACCGATAAAAAGTTTGGACCCTGTTTTTGTTCACTGGTTTTGAAAAATCCACATGAAACCTTTCGGAAGTACGAATTGGCTACTTGGAGGAGGTGTGAAATTCTATATGTTCTCAAAAAAGCTGTGTTGGCTACTTGGAGGCTGCAACACCTTCGCTGAAGCTGTGAGTAAACTTCACTGGAGAATAGTTTTTCCAAAAATTTCAAATGATTTATTCCTTAGATCAGGCTCAACAAGGATAGACTCATGATACAAAATTAATAGTAAATGGAGGAATTTTCGCGATCGAATGAGCAACAAAGAGAGTCGTAATAGATGTAAAAATTAAAACAAAATAGCATTTGAAATTTGAAAAAAAACTAAGATGGGTCAGGGTAAGCTTGAGTTCAGCTCTTCGTTACGTTCTCTGCGCGGCGGCTGTCACTCGACCAGGTTGATGTTTGCGTAAGAGAGCAGCATATCGAATAGTAGCCCGAACCCAAACGTTGTCGAGTAGAGGCTGTCGGCAGCGGCGATCTGCGGAACACTGGGCCCCGAGCTGTCGAAACTCGTATAATAGGATTATAAGCGATGACCGCGACGATGAAGAAGCATAGCCTAGCATAGCGGTGGGAGTAAAATCAAAGTTTAGCGGAATTTACAAGGAGAGGAGGTCCAGAAGTGAGGGAAGGGCGGGAGTCGGAATATATGAAAGGAGAAACAACATCCACCTCAAACGCCCAAAAATTACGTAATTGTTGCAAGCGCGCCCTAATTTAGGGCGCCCCATAAGCCCCGCCTCCAAAAGATTTTGATGAAATTCCCAGGCCTACCGGAATCAAATACGTATGAGATTATTGTGGGAGCACCCGTAGTGTGTTTGATGAACAGACTTTGGCGAAGTTTCGATGGCTTGGGAAAGTGCAAGAAATCGACGCCTGCCCAGAGCCGGTCCAGCCACCCACCTCCACAAGCCTAAGGCTGCTCAGGAAGGAACTGGACGAGCAGATCAACGTCGCCGAGCACAAATACGCTTACCGCCATCACCGAGACGAGCAGCCACAGTTGCACGGAGACGTTTTGCAAGACGAGGTGAAAAAGAACGAAGCAGGATATGCAACACTGTGGAGACGGGAGGGAGAATCAAGCGGTATTTTTATAATAGGGATGATAAAGCAAAAAAAAGTAAAAAGTAAAAAAAAAACCTGCAAAAAAATTGACGAAGAACGTAGCACATAAACAATTGTTTTTTACAAAACAAGTTGAAATTTTTCACTATGCTTGCGAAGTTTCAATTTCAGCATCATAATGTGCATTCAAAAATGGATAATTTAAACTTAAGTTTCAAATTTTGTATTACACTAGAATACCAGCACACAAGCAATTTTACAGTCTTAGGATGGGACCGCGAATAAAATAGGCGTGCTTCACCATGTGTATCAGAAGAGCGCTGGGAGTGATGCACCATGTGCAAACCAGATGCAAAACCTGTTAACTTCCTTCTCTTCATGTTGCTGTAATTTTTGATAGCATTTTTTTATTTGGTCATTCTATAATTACCATAAAAACGAAGATTTTTGACTTATACCAGAGAGCCCGTCATTGGCATTCTGATGCCACACAAACTATTGAAGAAAATGAAAGTACTTCTTAGCATTCAAGCTTGACCTAACTTTACTAGTGTGGGGCGGGAAGACGGGGGGGGGGGGGTTAATGGTCAATTTTCCTGCATTTGTCTGTCAACAAATCGAGGACAGAGGCTCGATAAAATCCACGACATAAAGTTAATTGAAGATCTGTGGTAAATGGTAACCAGAGAAAACCGTACCTTGATCAAACAAAAAAAAATGAAAAATACCAGCTGTATTCACGCTAACTCTGCCACATATTGTAACAATACGGTCACATAGTAACAAAAACGATGCGAATAATTATGCGAGCGCAGTCTCCCTACTACTTTATTTACATATTCATGGTATTGTACTGTACTAATGTTTATGTTTGTATATGTCGCTGCTTTTGTTTGTTCAGTCGCTTCCAGTTTATTTGCATATTTTCTATGATGAACCACAAAACAGTAAGTTTTCATAGAAATAGAATTTGAAAGTTGCACTAGTAAACAAGGGCAGCGAAGTTTGGGAAATCTCTGAAGATTCTTGAGTAAAAAGTGTTATACTTAAATTATCTCTGTATTTTTTTCAAAAGTCGTTATCAGTTCTCAAGTCCTGGATTTTTTTTATAAATAATACCGATTAAGAGGCCTTAGCTAAGCCATATCCGAGTGGTAGCTCATATGATAAAAAATTCATGGCTAAGAGATATAGCTCAATTCCCAGGCCACATTGCAACCTCTCGTACCAGCCAGCGTCCCTGATACGGTAGAAAATACGGTTTGGACGAGAACTCTCCCGCAGGCACATTGCATCATACGAGTTGCCGTGTGGAAGATGACTTGATAAAGACTTTATGATCAGTTCACTCGAGAAATCTTGCTGTCCGGATCTGTTCAAGCCCACATTATATTTCAAAAAAAACTATGGGAGGTATTCAAGTTTGCCGGAAAATCATCCAAGTGCGAATTTCAGTTAGTGGTCATACCCTAAGGCAAGCGCTATACTTCTCGAGGAGTATAGCATGGCGACGATCGATATGCATAAAATACGTGTAAAACCGGCGATTTTTGTCGCCGATATTGGCGTCTACACGTTTGATACGTATCGATTAGCGACTGGCGATCGCCAATCGCCAAACAAGTTACCACACGTCAAATTGATACGAATGAAACGTGTAGTCGCCGATATTGGCGATCGCCAGTCGTAGCGACTAGCGATGGCCCGTCGCCATGCTATGCTCCTCGAGGAGTATAGTGCCTGCCTAAGTGCCGTCATTTTCTACAATTTCTTCCGGAACATAAGTTTTTGGAAGCATATTAGTAATTCCACTTAACCAACATTTTCAAATGGATTATATGCATACAGGGAATGTGAAACAAAACTGAATTTCATTCCAATTTCAGTACTTCCAATGCTACTACCCATTGTTTGCAGAGGAGTTTCTTCATAAGTTTTGCGAAATAAACCGCAAGAGTACCTTTGAAAAAAAAAGGAATAAGATGAGAAAATAAAACAGAAGCTCCGATAGAAATGCTTTCTCTATATATCACATTCGAGCGGAACGAGAAGAATTTCCAGAATTCATTATTTCATAAGTTTCACTGGAATCCAAGACTCATCGTTAATATTGCCAGGATGCCTACTTGTGATGACAGTTTGTCTACATATTTCATCTAATGTTGAAAAACGGAGCGCTCGACATTTGATGTGCTTTTCGATTAGAAAGGCATGCAATGATTATTCATCGACATTTTGCGGTAATCGAAGCCGTTTATCTATTCCATGGCTCTTATTCACAAAGAACAACAGTGAAAATGTCATTAGATGTCACATGAGAACAGTTACAAAGATGAGAGCAAGCGATGGGGACCAGTTCTCGCCCAACTACGAACAGAAACTCCACAAAAATCAACAAATATGAAAACTTATGTACACAAATACAAACAAATAAATGCTAAATATTCTCAATGTCATGATTTTGCATGAGAGTTTTCTTCTTATACTTCTTCTTGACGAGTTTCTCGCCTCCTTTGACCATTAGAAATAAAAGCTGGAATTAAGATTAAGTTGCAGCCTGGAAAAATATTTGAACCTTAAAAGCTTACCGTAATCACAATTAAGACAAGGGCAGTAATTGCCATAACAATGAGTGCGGTCACCGGCCAATCATGGGTCTTTTCTTGGATGATGTGCTAAAATATATAATATTTTTTTCGAAATAATATCAATCTGTTTCTGACATTTTCTGTCAATCAAACTATTGAAAAAAAAATTGGTTGATCCGAACATATCGTAAAATAAAAGAATGCCAAACATTTTTGACGATGTTGAAAAACAATATCCAAAAAATTTTGTAGACAGGAAGTCTATTCGAAAAATTTATGGCATACTTTTATAGCTTTGAAAAATTAGTAAAAAAATTAGCGATGTCATGAAGCACAGTAGAAGCATAGTAAAAACTATATTGAACAATTTGAAAACTTGGAAAGTGGGAATTTCCAACATAAAACATCACAATCATCCTGTTTTCTGATAAGAAAAAACTGAAAACCTGCGTAAATAAAAACTTACCAACATTCTTTCCACATTTTTGATAGTATCAGTGTTAAAATTGTTACTGACCGACGAGATCGTCTCTTCACCGCGTTTTGCTATTTCTGCTACTGCGCCATCAACCTGAATAGAAATCTTCTTTACAAAATCCGAATTTTCAATACCAGGATTTTTGCATACCAGATCTCACCTCGTAAGTCAGAACATTGATCTGTCCAGAAAGCCGTTCTATTTGGAAGACGACTCTGTCGATGGATGCATTCGTAGCCGCTGTCGTTGTAGCTACGGGTTCATAGAAGTTGAAAGGTGGTGGCATCCAGAAAACGTCACCACCTTGTTCTTCCAAGAATCAGAGCCAGATTTCCTATATAAAAAATTGTAAATAAAAGAAGTGTAAGGGAATTCTCAACTTAGAATTTCAAGAAAAGCAGCTAAACAGAAGCAGGAAAGAGACCGGAGCAGCTTTGTGGAAAAAGGAGATGCACAAACATGAGTCATATGCTTGTCTACTTCTAAGCCCTTGTGAAAAAAATATTTGTGAAAGCAAGAGGGAGCTAGAGCAATTTTAGACTAGTATGAAGCATTCTTTCTAAGCTAACGGTCACGGTGAAAATTCTGGAAAAGCGAGAAGGCAACAGATAACGATTCAGCCGAAATTTAATAAAATGAAACAAAATGATAGCTGGAATAAATGAACATTAATGATGATATTAGATTCCTATACAACCTTGGAAGTAGGAGAGGAGAGTTTTACATTTTGTCGATCAAACGCTTGTAGATTTTCACCAGAGATAGAAATCAAGGCCTACATTGTTTTATCGAAATTTTATGCATGGCAATCTTAGAATCAAGCAAAGTGTTTTTCGAGATGACTAAATTTTCTGTTTTTTCAATAAATCGATATTCAATTTGTTGGTTTACTTGGAATATGATCATGCTATTATCTGTGATAACTAAGAAAGTGTAAGAATTTTTAAAGCATTCTAAAATTGGTATTTACCGATTTTCCATCTTTTGAGCAAATTTTTGGGTATTTGTTTATTCTTTGATTTATCTACCTAGGTATGTGTGCCAAACAAACAAACAACAAACGAATATAGCAAACAAGATGTTGAAAATATAGCCAGCTAAACGAATAGTTCATACACTTACAATCGAATAGACTTTCGTGCTAACTTGTGTAATTGTACAACTAAAAATTTTGGTTTCTCTAAACACATGTGTACGATACAATACGCGTACCAAAACATGCTGCAGAGATGAAGTAAAAACATTTGAGAACTGATACTGCGCTCCATTGCCAACCCCATCTCAACTGTGCAATTGCACGACAGCAAGAAAATTTGTCTTCAAAAATTAGAACGTTGTAAGGTGGACAAACTAAGAAGTTTAAAATAAAGATTGAAATTTTAAGCTGGAACCTGAGGTTTACAATTTCTTGATTTTTTATTGAGGCGTCCTTTCTAAAGTCCTATAGACTTATCTATGGGTCGTAACATAAATTTTATCATAATCGATGGAGAAAATCTTAACAGCTTTTTATGAAAATAATTTTTTTCTTTCTCAAGGTTGAGTGGGAGATTGTAGCTTTTCGATATATACATGCCACACATAAAAAATCCAGTTGCCAAATTTTTTGAATTTTTTCAAATTATTTTCATTATTTATTAATTATTTTTATTACTAAAGGGCCCAGACTTTCAAACTGCCTTTATATTGATACTAACGTTCCCGGAAACCCATGAAAAATCTAAATCAACACTAAGAATGAGAGGAGTTTTATAAGAGAAAGAAAAAATGGAGGATGAAGAGCCGTCGCAAGTTGCCTTTATATCAACCCTTAACTCAAACATGGAAGGTGGAGATGATGCCAATGAGTATTCCTTTGTCCATTGCTTATCTTGCCGAATATTAGATTTTGCGGAAGTTTCTGAATTTATTTATAAAATAAAAAGTGTAATAAAACTCATGTTACGACCTAAAATTTCATTCGTGAAACAAGAAAAAATTTACCAATCTGGTCAAAAATACAAACCAGGCACATTTTTCAGCTATAAAAGTGATGATTTTCAAATTCAGAATAAGTAAAGGAATGGAAAAGTGATTTTTAAACTATAATGAGTGACGTAACCGACGTAATTTTGAGCAGAAGTACGTATGCTTAGGTACATACGGCTGCGAATCGATCAACGAGCAACACCCATGCTATCGCTGACTGTTTGAGCAAACAATCGGCTACGTGTGTCTATAGGGCTGATTCATATACGTTATTTAATATATGCACATCAGCGCGACTACGCGGGTCACGTTTCCTTGCTGGAAGAGTTGTGCAATTGCGACCATATGCGAAGTCAGAAAAGTTGTGTGAACAGAAGCGGACAAGCTCAATTAAAACACGAGTACATAAAAGTATTGCTCGAACAGGCTTCAAATTAATAAGGTCTCAAATAAATACTAGAGTAGGCTCTTCATGCAAGTCTAGCCCAGGTATTCATTGTAGAGTCCTAGTACAGAATTTCTGAGATTAAAGGCTTTTTTGGGAGGGGGGATAAATAGGGGGTGTATGCAAGATGAACGATAGCTGGCAATAAGCATACTGTACTCCTGCAGTTGTCAATATGTCGCACATAAAGTCTTGTTTTTTGAAGCTGTATGTTCCAAACTAGATTGAAAATGGTGTCGCACAGTAAGAATCAGGACTTACAGTGCTTCCATCGTTTTTTTCAAGGTTCGAGATATCATCATAGCGTAAATATGGAATTTGAAAAAGATTTGACCTACGCAGCGCATATGGCTGGCACAACTTATCGTTCATGTTGGCTGCCCCCCTAAATTAGGCAAGCGGGACACCGTAAAACATCTGAACACAAGACTGGCTCAGAAGAGGGCTGGCAATAGGGCAAATATTTATCGTTCTTGTTATCTGCTTATGAGCAAAAGAGAAGAGTAAGTATTGACACAACATCTCTATTGTACTGCCGCTCATGGCTCGGGTTCGCAAAATTTTACTAAAGTCCCTTTTCCCTTTGACCCTAAAACCCTAAACGTAAACAAACAGGAAAAAACGGAACGCCGGCTAAACACATATCGTTTTCTCGGTCACAAAAACGATATGTCTTTTACTTTTTGTCCTAGAACACCCAACTATTAGATTGTCCCATAATTGTGATTTTTGAGTTTTCGCTATGGAAAGTCATACATTTCTTATCCTAAATAGACATCAGGATACCATTCAATAGAGCAAAGCAAGCTCTATAAGTGGCTCTTATGCTTTTGCACCGGATGCGATCCATCTCATGTCTGAAACCAAATCTAAAAAGCTTCGGACGCCCAGAAAAATGAAAATTTTTCACATCATCGTTAAAAAGTCCCACAGATTTTTTGCTCGCTCGCGCATATACACTCCACATCAGACACTCATATGTGTTGCTGCTTCTTTTTTATTAGCTAGAAATCGAGAAACCGAAAATTCCCATGTTTTTACCCAAGTGATGCTGTGCTCTTCTTACACTATAGTGTATACTACAAGCTCTTATTGTTAGAAGTACAACGGTAAATTTTTAGCTATCTATAAACTCTAGTCAGGGCTCGGCACGAGGTGGCTAGATGAAAATGGAAAAAACGAAGTCCCCCTTGACTTTTGGGAATTTTTACGAAGTCCCCTTTGACCCTGAACCAAATTTCTTCTAAAAACCTGAAAAATTCCCGAAAATCCCCCAAAAAACGAAACGTCGACTAAAAAAAAAGGTCGCCGTCGTCAATTTTCCGTATGTCTTCGCTCACAAAAACGAAACCCCTTTGCTTTTCGTCCCAAAAACGATATCCAGCTTGCTTGTAAGCCACCTGTGCCGAGCCCTGACTCTACATAGTTCCAGAGAAGTATCGAATCTAGCTCTCATATTCCTCGATCGGGTTTTTCACGCTTAACTTAACATTTCTCGGAAACCAGAACTTATAGAGAGCCGAAAATTTATGATTGTACTTCTGAGGGCTCATAGTATACAACTGTTAGCACAGTCTGGCCATAATTATAAAGACACTCTAAAAATCGTCGTTTTGCGTTCTTGTTGATGAATCTGTCTGAAACTTTGCTGTGCGGTGCGCATGCTAACTTGTCATAACATCTCAAATCGGCTTCCAATTTTGTTGAGTTCGAACGGAGAGAAATAAAAAAAATTCAGAAACCCTCTACCGAAAAGCTGGACAAAATCACAAAGACACCTGGTTTTTTTTAAACACCAGTGCGTCCCCTAACTTTGAAATTTTTTGTACAATTACATACTAAATCATGAAAAATCTGCAACATATGCGACCTGTCATCCTTTTTAAAGAGAGATTATTGCATTTTTTGCTTTCAAGAGCACCAAAAGTCAACTTGCTTCAACAAACAGCTGGTTTGAGGAGTTTTCAAGCTCTTGTTCATTTTAAATAGTAGTCATAGAATCCACTAACCCTTCTGGATAAATGAGGTAAAGAGCGCTTTCGTAAACTCTGCGTAATCGCTGATATAGAAGGACAGACTCCAACCCAAACATAGGTTTGTCACGCTTTCAAACCACAAAATTCAATTTCCAAGCAACAGAAAATACTGTAATGTAGCCATTACGTTGGCTGTACAACAGTAAACTTGTATGTATAGTTAGGAAAAATTCGAAGTTGGTATAATGGTTCAGCAGCGGTTGTCATCCACTGAATATTAAGTGGAGCACCCTGCATAATCATAGCCAAACAGATCACGAGATAGAACAGGAGGCCTCCCAGAAATTCAAAATCTTAGCTAATCTCATTCTTGGGTAGAACTTGACATGAAACAGAGAGGAAAATAGTGACATATATAAATGGAATCCACTAACCCTTCTGGACAAATGAGGCAGAGAGTCGCCCCGCCCACTTGCTTGCTTTATCTCGCCTGCGCTTGTTGCAAAGGGTTCTCGAAACAGGGATTTTTGGGGGTTCGCGGATTTTCGACTTCATATTCGGAATCATGGCTTTCAGAACGCCTGAAGGCGACAAAAACATTGAACTCGAGATTTTGGGTGGACGGTGCCTTTAACATTCAGTGGATGACAACCGCGGCTGAACCATTATACCAACTTCGAATTTTTCCTAACTATACACACAAGTTTACTTTTGTACAGCCAACGTAATGGCTACATTACAGTATTTTCTGTTGCTTGAAAATTGAATTTTGTGGTTTGAAAGCGTGACAAACCTATGTTTAGGTTGGAGTCTGTCCGTCTATATCAGCGATTACGCAGAGTTTACGAAAGCGCTCTTTACCTCATTTATCCACAAGGGTTAGTGGATTCTATGACTACTATTTAAAATGAACAAGAGCTGGAGAACCCCTCAAACCAGCTGTTTCTTGAAGCAGATTGATTTTTGGTGCTCTTAAAGCAAAAAATGCAGTGAACATCTCTCTTGAAAAAGGAGACAGGCCGCATATGTTGCAGATGTTTCATAATTAAGTATGTAACTGTACAAAAAAATTTCAAAGTCAAGGGACGCGCTGGTGTTTAAAAAAACCAGGTGTCTTTGTGATTTTGTCCAGCTTTCGGTAAAAGGTTTCTGAATTTTCCATTTTTCTCCGTTCATACTCAACAAAATTGGAAGCCGATTTGAGATTTTATGGCAGGTTAGCATGCGCATCACATAGCAAAGTTTCAGACAGATTCATCAACAAGAACGCAAATTACGACGATTTTTAGAGTGTCTTTATAATTACGGCCAGCACTGTATGACAAGAGCACAGCATCACTTTGGTAAACACATGGAAATTTTCGGTTTCTTGATTTCTAGCTAATAAAAAAGACAGATGATGTGGAGTTATACGTGAGCGAGTGAGAGATCTGTAGGGATTTTCTCGATGAAGATATTAAACTTTTCAATTTTTTGGGCTTCCGAAACTTTCTAGATTTTGGTTTTAAACTTGAGGTGGATCGAAGCTGGTGTAAAAGCGCAAACGCCATCTTATAGAGTGTGATTTGCTTTATCGAATGGTGTCCTGATGTTTATTTAGAAAGAGAGATGTATAAATTATCACAGCGAAAATTCGAAAATGAAAAGACTTATGGGACAACTTAATAGCTTACAAGTCTGTGCCAAGTCCTTACTGCAGCTATATATTAGCTTGAAAAGAAAAAAATGTCGTTTGTTATTTCCTCGTCATGGCATCGCAACAAGGCAGTTCCAGAAGCATGTACGGGATACCATTCGATAGAGCAAAGCAAGCTCATGAAGTTTGAAGACAAAATCCAGAAAGTCTTAAATTGTCGAAAAATTGGAAAAAATCGTATCTTCGTCCAAGAAATCTCTACGCACCCTCCAACTGCTCACGAACATACATCCCTCATCAAACATCCATACGCGCACCCGCTGTAATTTTTCCTTGGCAGACAACGATAAATTAGAAAATTTTTATGCTTCTGCCAAACTGATGCTCTGCTCCCGGGAGACGGTCAAGAGGCGCGCGATTTCTTCGGCTGTCACCAACTTGAAGATCTAGTTTAGTGCTATACGAGTTTTCAAAAATTACCAGATAAAGTGCATTAGCTTGCTTTCTGTCTGTGATCACCACTTACTAAGTTTCATGGTTTTTGCTATAAATCGGACTGAAATATTTACGAATTTGTTTTGAAATGCATTTTCATGAGTTTTTGACCTTCAAATTTGTTGTTTTGAATTTTTCTAGAGTATCAAGATTGAACAACTCATGCAACTATCTAATATATCTTCTTCTAAATTTTATATTCTTTTAGAAAGTTGCAGAACACTTATTATGTGCTATTTGGTGTCCAGCTGGCAATAAAAATCGCGCCTCTTGACATACACCCTCTGCTCCCGCGTATGCAATTCTATACTAGCTTGAAAAGTAAAACCGTGGATTTCCAGCCTTCTAAAGAGTTATTTTTCGAGAAATACTATTCATCGCACTAAATTCGACATTTTTCTTAAAGTAACTGCTGTAGACGGTTGAAAATCTGCTTTTGTACTTTCCAAGCTGAGTAGTAATAGAATTACTTATGCAGGAACAGCCCATCATCATTTGGTGATTCTTTAATTTCTAGACAAGGAAAAAATCACAGCAAGTGCACGTATGGATGTTTGATGAGGGATGTACGGAGCAAGTTGGGGATCCGTAAAAATATTTTGGGCAGAGGTACGAATTTTTAAATTTTTCGGTTACTTGGCGTTTTAGATTCCGCCTTCAAACTCAGTGAGCTCACACACTGACCGAGATTCCGCTGAACTCTCCGTCAACTTTATGAGCATGATGGTGTAGTTCTCTAAACCAAGGCCATTCAAATAATGATGTCCCGCAGCCCATCTGTGGAAAGTTTTCGTTTACAATTAGTCGAGCATTAAACTCCCGTCTTTGAGGGTCAAACTTTTGTGGTAGTAAATCTATGCAGCAAGTATCTCCTCTGATTTTTCTTCAACGTTTTTGGAAGACAATCTGTGTGTGATTCTCGAAAATGTGTTTCTCAATAAGTTCAGCAACAACAATTAATAACGATTTAATCTTTATAATCTAATCTATAATGAACCAAATTACTGTTATAACATTATTAGTAGAAAAGCAGCCGTTTGGACATTTCAGCCATGACGATCTCTGAAAGCAGTACACCATCGTTGGACGCATCGAGAGTAATGCAAATATTTATCACCGTAAATTTTCTGGACTGCGACTAAAAGCTCACCCGAAAGCTGCTTGTGCTCATTCTAAGTACGGAAAATAGTTCTTTATTTAGATACGGAGTAATACTGAAGGAAGACATCCTCCTCCCTGAAATGAGCAACGCAATGAAGTACTAAGCAAACCTCGTCTACATAGCAAACCTTTCTACAGCCTCCCTTTTGCTTACTTGATTTCTTCTTATGAGCTTTTGATCCTTTTACTCCCTTCTTTTTCGAGAACACTTTTTTCTTACCCCCAGCTTTCTTTCTGTTGCCACAAGTCTTCGGTGGTGGTGGTAGAGGTCGTGGTGGGGGTGGTTGTGGCGGGGGTGGTTGTGGCATTCTTTGGGGTGATGGAGCAGATGCGTTCGCAGGAGGTCCTGGAGGGCCAGGTGGTCCCGGCGGCCCTGGCGGCCCCGGTATGTAAATTACTGGCCCTGGTGGCCCTGGTGGCCCTGGTGGCCCGGGCAATCCAGGTTCTCCTTTGTCTCCCTTATCTCCTTTCTCTCCTTTCTCGCCTTCATCTCCTTTAGCTCCTTTTACACCGGGCGGTCCTGCAACTCCTTGTTCTCCTGGTTGTCCGGCCACTCCTAAATCTCCTTTTTCTCCTTTCAGCCCCGGCAATCCCGGCGGCCCAATTGGACCTGGTGGTCCAGCTTCCCCCTTCATTCCTGGTGCTCCTGGTGATCCCGGCATTCCAGGTGGTCCGCTCTCTCCTCTATCTCCTTTGAGTCCTTGCAACCCTCGTTCCCCTTGAAGTCCTGGTAGCCCTTGTGATCCATTGCTTCCTGCTGGTCCTGGTAATCCTGGCGGCCCAGGTGGTCCTGGTGGGCCAGGTGGGCCAGGCTTTCCAAGAAGGATTTTGATTTTTTCTTCCTAAATTACAAAGAGGTAACCTTAAATTTGCTGCTGGCACGAAACTAATAAATATATATCAGTGGCGTACCCAGGATTTCGGCTCGCGGGGGGGGGGGGGGGCGACAAAAAAATTTTTCTAGAGAAGGTGCGTGGCGTTAGCCACGCACTCCGAAAAAATTTTTGGAGTGCTTTTCAAAAATTTTGCGGGTCCCCGATTTAAAAATTATTCTAATTATTTGCAAGTGCAGACAAGTCATTTGCACAATTTTATAATTGGCATTGATAGTGAACAAACCCATACCGTGGTCGACATCATTAAGGCCAACATAACACAATTTCTTCCATATTTTTGAAGAGATAACATACTTAAATTTTGGTATGTGGTAACGACGTGAGCCACAAGTTGCTCAAACTATTATTTTTGATAGCAAGATACAGAAAATTTGCGCATTTTTCAAAGATCGGTCAGGCTCGAGTTTACGAGGAACAAAAAACGAAGCCGTGTGTCGAACACAACGAACATAACTGTAGACAAAGTGTTGCTAGAGGTTAACAAACCAAGCTCAGTAAAAAGGAGTCGAAGTTGAGAAAGGTTGGCGCCTTACAGCTCCGAAAGAGTGGTCCTCAATAAGCAACTTGATCAAATAGCATCTCAACTTTGCGAAAGAGGTTTTTAACGCGCCGACCAAGATTTCATTTTTGCGATCGGCATGTTGAGTAATACCTCCTAAACCCTTCTCGCATAATCTTGACTCCTTTACCAACTTCTTGCCTAACCTTAAGATGAGAGATTAATTGCTTTAACTTTTACATAAGCAGAACTCGACAAGAACGGGAGGAGGGGGGGGGGGGGAACGGTCGACAACATAAGAGCCCATTTCTGTGTTATGCGAGCTTTCAAAAATACCAAACAAAGTCTTTGGCTAAACAACTGCTTAAAGTTGCCACTTGCTGAGTTTGAAGGGTTTTGATGCAAAACTGAGCAAGAATTACGAATTCAATATTACTTGCATTTCCAAGGTTTTTGGACCGTCAACTTTTATGTTTTGAATTTATTTGGTGGTAATCTGACTAAACAACACAGGCGGCCAACTAGTACATCACACAAGTTTCAAATACATGTAGAGAGTTGTATAAACAAATCATATGCTATTCGCTGTCCGAATGGCAATAAGAATCGCACCTATTGGGATACACTTCAAGATGGCAGCGCATATGATAATTTATGTAATGCCAAAGAATGAAACTGCCACAATCCAATTGATAAAATCCTGATTACCAACCTAATATTTTAGTCGAATATTCGGATCTCGATGCTGTTTTGTAGGCAGTGAGTCAAGTAACAAAAATGGACATTTGAACATTATTATGCGCAATATTTTCTGAACAATGGACTAATACTTTGCAAACAATAAGTATTTATCCTACTCCTCGTGCGCAATTGTGCTTAACAAATGCTCCTAAGTGGAAAGATCTTGCAACGGGGAGCTTCAGACCGATGAAAAGTGCTGAAAAGGTTGCGAGAGGAAATCTCGCAAGGGAATCGCCAGACTTTCAAATAAGCTGCGAACCAATCGACGCAATCTGTCTTCCATAGCTGCTAGATACCTTTGTAGGCAAATTATGAGCAGTTTTATTGCAAAAAAATTGCAAATAAAAATTGCAAAATTGAGCGCATCATTGCACTTTTAGCATCTTTAGACATAGGCCATATGAAGTAACCCAACAGCATGTTTTGACTCCCAGCATCAAGTCGAGCATGGCCCAATACGGTCAAATTTGCACTTGGTACGCACAGTCTCTAAGCGACGTCCATTAATGACTTATAGCTTCATCCGCAAAGGTATTCAGCTGATAAAGGAGGCGAGTTTAGCATTTTATGCTGCATCTACTCAGACAAATGACCAGATTGAACCTCACTATATTGACTGTGAGACCCACCTCCTATCCTCTACGCTACGGCTGACATGTTCAGTAATGCACTCTAGTTGTTGAAGACGCAACATCACGAGACAACACATTCAAAGTCCTGCGGAAGTTCTGGCAGGCCAAAGTGCTGCGGAACCTCCGGCATTTTTCGGAATTTCCGCAGGATTTTGAAGAAAGTTCTGCGGAAGTTCCGGTTTTCAACCAGTTTGGCATGAAAATCCTGCGGAAGTTCCGATTTTCATCGACTTCATTTTTGCAATAGTGGACAAAATCCTGCGGAACTTCTGCAAATTTGGCGTGTCCTGCTGAAGTTCCGGTGATTTGTCTGACCAGGGAAGTACTTTCAATGGCCGCGGCTGTTTGATATGAGATGCGTATCTTCTGAAGCAGCTTCCAACGCTGATTTCAAATCTGTTTTCCGTTTCTGCGGAACGCTCTTCTGAAGAAAGTTATGGAAGCCTGAACATTTTATTTTAGGGGCGCTTCTTGAGTTTGAGGGCGCTGCTATGTGCATTGGTGGTGCAGTAGTGTAATGATTACTTGCTGACATTGAATGCGAGAGGTTGATGGTTCAAATCCGGTGGAGAGCGAGCCACTTGCATTTTGAATGTGAGTTTTAAAGCACCCTAAATGGTCTTCAGACACTTACTCTAATGCCTTAGCACAAACAGGAGAGAACATCTTTTCGACTAATGACAGTGTGCATTTTTTGAAATTTATGTGGTGACAAACGTGCTAGGCCATGTTTGGTCCTGTTTTACTAGTAAGCAAGTTCAAATAGAATTTCAGACTCTCATTACAAGCAGTTTTGCCAGAAATTTCTTTTTTTAGGTCACTTATGCCAAAGGCATTACAGTAAGTGTCTGCAGGCAATTTTGAGTGCTTTCAAACTCACATTCAATAAGCAAAATAGTTCGCTTTCCACCGGAGTCGAACCATGAATCTCTCGCCTTCAATGTCAGCAACTATACATTATTGCACCACCAATGCACATAGCAGCGCCCTCAAACTCAAGGAGCGTCCCCAAAATAGAATGTTCGGGCTTCCATAACTTTCTTCAGAAGAGAAAGAAACGGAAAGCAGATTTAAAATTAGCGTTCGAAGCTGCTTCAGATGATATGTATCAAAAGGCCACGGCCATTGATAGTACTTCCCTTGTGAGTAATGGTATGCAATTTGCTCATGTGGGCCACTTCGGCTTCTGGTCAATCCCTTGTTAGTGAAATTGTAATCCTCTACAACTTATTCTATGTTCCTTTCATCTTGTTACTCGTGACTTCTCTCCCACTCTTGACTCCTTTGGCTATGTTATAATTATAGTATGAGTGGCGTAGAGATATGAGGCGCGCCGCTATGACCAGGTCGGAAAAGTTCGATACCACCCCTAGACCAGCCCTCTACTATCCGCTGATGGCAAACTGGTACCAGACTAGCCTGGAATGATAAAAGCACTGACTTAATTGTCGGCTGGACCCGCAAATTCTGAAAAGGCCTGCACACATACAGTAACCTCTTTGACTATAAGGAAAGGTCTGTAGCGCATGCCCACAAGGCGCGTTGAAGACGCCGAATCCTCTATCCATCATCCATAATTAATACTTTAGTATGTCCTGGTTGACCAGTCAGATAACTTATCAAGCTTTTGCTTTTAAGTGCCTAAACGGCGAGCCAACTATGAATCCAAAATCTGAAACCATGAAACCTGAGTAAGAGTAGAAGCTGCAAATAGTCTGCAGCCTATATTTTTCAAACAGTCTGCAGCTTAAAACTTTGTCTGGGAAACATTGCGCCCTAATCAAAAAAACTCGCAAATTTGTTTACCTATCGTGCTGCATGAAAATAAAATATTTGTTTTGAAAGAACAAAACATACCGTGGTTTCCTTCTCCTTGATTTCGTTATCGTCTTCGTCATCAAGAGCAGCTAGAAGTTGATAATTGAGTTCTGAGTAAAATCATAGAAGTTACGTACCGTTAACTTGGTTGTCTTGAATAGCCATCAGTAGTAATAACTGCAAAAAGTGATAGCACGACTTAGAAGGTCTTGAAGTGCGCCAACGTACCGTCGTAAGAAGTAGACGCTCCATAATTCCAATGTCACACACAAAATTTATAGTTTAGGGTTGTTGGATTTTGGGGTATTTCGATTTTGTCTTATACGAGGGGATTTGTCTTATATAGAGGGTGCGCTGTCCCACGAAAAGCTGAATTAATAATACTTTCAGCTTTCAACTCAAATAACATGCACTTTAGCTAAGAACAGTATCAAGAAAACAACGAATCTATTGTACGAAATTCATGTGTCTAAAGTCTATGTCTACTTTTGTTGTCCCACTTTCCATATGTGTCTGATAGCTTTGCGGTCTCATATTTCCCTCTAGTATGCGATGTGGCAGGTCTGACGGTTGTGGTTATGAATTAACATTAATAAACCAAAATCGAAGTTAATGTCTAATTTATACCTCAGCACTTATTTGCAAAAGAGAGTCTGTACAATACTGCCTGAAAATGTGAGGTCCACGCAGTTTCCATTGGGCAATCTTATAACAAAATGAGTATGTGGTTAAACCCTAAGCTATTCAAAGATTTAGCTATCTTCAAAAAGGTAAAGGATGAAAGATTTAGCGCGTAAATACCCTCGCAGCAAATGCGCCGGACGTATTCCACGATGTAAACAATGGGGCATTTGAATACTTGCAAGTTTTTACAATACTTGCGAAAGTCAGACTTTTCTTGAGTCACTCTAAACCTTACAAATTGCTTTAGTACCAATTTGACATCCCCGGAGGCTAGAAGACTTTGTTGGCCCAGGGACCAGATAAAACTTCGGTCCGAACGGTCTAGCGACTCCCTATACCACTACGCCATCCGTGCCCCATATACGTTTATGTGCATAAAATGGTATTTCGATGTATCTCGATATTTACTTGAGCACACTCTGTGTGAACAGTTTTCAAAATTTATTTGAGCAGTTAGACCTTTACTAAAAATTGCGCTTGGCCTACTCCAGGTGTTTCGGGCAACGTTTCGAAAGTAGTTGTTTTGAAGCTTAATTACGTACCGCTATCCGAGACTTCTGAATTACTATGATGTATGTGTGCCTCATAAGTTTTGCTTGTATTCCGATATCGTCCGATTTTTATTGGAAATTCCAGAAATTTCATTCCCTTTACCGTCAATCATTTGCAACTTATTCTATGAGCCAGCACACCGCGCTCTGCGATCTTAACAGTAACTCCTCAGTAAAGCCTTTTATAGCGTAACACTCCAAATATGTGTTATGAACTAATACATTTCCATTGAGACCAAAAGGGACAAGAAAACAAGGAGTAATCACTGAGGATGGACATAATCCAGTCTTACAAGTTCATCAAGTAGCGTGCATGGCGTGCAATACGCATATTAAGTTTCATATAATTCTGGGATACATATACATGCAATACCAGGCGGCCTCTTCGTCTTTCCAACTGCTGCAGAAATCCTCCTTTACAACACATCTGTTGCTGGAGTGTCACTGATCGATCAGGAGATAGAGCTTTGGAAAATCTTGGTGCAAAACATAGCTTTGAATGAATTGATAAAGTTAAGAATTTATTTTGAAGCAGTTAATAGGCTGAAATCACAGTTTTGCAATTTCACAAATCTACGTTCAAGTTTTCGCCACAGATGAAACCTAAGGAGAAGCGGTTTTATGAAGGTTGCGTATGAAAGTTTGGGGTTCGGCATGCTTCAACATGACTGGGTTTTGAAGGCAGTGTCCAGGCAAAAACTCGATTTCTAGAAAATCCACTTACCAAGGCTTATCCGCAACGCTGAATTCGAAAATCCACATTAGAGCGCGTAATGGCGAGAACATACGTTTTCCAGAGCCGCACAATTTGACATTCGACGGTCCCCACCAAGGCAGAGACGCAGAGTCGCTGCGGGACCCTACATTTTAACTTTGGCGGCATGCGTACTCTGCCGCATAGCAGGAATTCGGACAGTTCGGAGGGCCCCGCCCCAAGGCGTAAGTTTCCTTATTTCCGATCGTTTTTCTTGCTTTAGGTCGAGCGTTATGACGTTGCACTTGCGCGATGTTGTGTCTGAGGGGGGCCACTCTCGCAACTAAAATCCCAAAACCCACCTCGCGTTCGGACACTGCCTTCAAGCTTCTCGAGAGATATGTTTGGTTTTAAGTCACTTTGAATTCGATTATTATGATTTGCACCAGAATCTGTGATGTTTTGGACATAGCCTAAAACTAGTATTTACTCTACGTAATTGAAAGAAAAGCTGATATCTACCACAATACGTGTGCCAAGTGAATGGAACACGGTCAGTTTTGCCTAATACTATGCATATGAGTAGATTACAGAGAAACCTGTAAAACGTGTCAGCTGACGTAATACCGCAGAGACAGGTGCAGTGATGCACTGCGCATGTTACTCCTTGCAAGCATTGCTTCGACATGTACGTATCAGGTTCAAACAATTTTCACTCAATTGGCGAATTAGGAGCAAGATAAAACAAGTTTCAACTCGCTCTCTTCCTTGCATGCACGTGGCTTTTCCGAAGTCCATTAATTGCGGATTGGCTTTATTTCTGGATCGGATACTCTATTGAACTGAGCTAACTTGCCGTAAATTCAAATATTTCTTTAAATATTAACAAAGGCAGCTTGACTACTAGTCTAAATTCTCACCGCTGTTTACAGGAACTCTTTAGTATCCAAGGTGGGTTCTCTGAACCTTAATCTTTGTGGAGTTAATATACGTTAGCTCCTAAAACAATATACGACGTGAAAAGGATAAATGGCAAGATAGACTCTCCGCGAGCCCTTTCGCCACTGGAATACTAGCTTTTCAAGTGAATGAGTTGTTCGCATAAGGATAAGCGCATACGACCATTTTTTGCGGGTATGAGTTGACGTCAACTAAAATGTCAATTTATCCATCACCATAGTAAGCAACGTCAGTTCATTCCAAGATTCGTCTAGGGAACCAACGTTGCTGCGAATTGAACTTGGTTTCGTCATTGATCACTCTCTCATTAAATTTTGAGGGCTGGATAGCAATATGACGGACATACCGCACAATCGATGGTAAAAATTAGGCTGCGGCTCAGGTTTGTTAGAAAGACAGATTGTGAACAAATCAGAAGCTCTTATTCAAAACAATTTCAGCTCTAATGCAGCTCCAATGTCAAAATGTATGTCTCAGTAAACCTTCATAGCCCTGATTTCGCCGGTGAAAGCTGTAAACTACGTCTTCATCACTTCGCAAGATGAAGAAAAACCCGCTTTTGATAACGAGCTAGAAGATCACTTGACCAGTTCTGTTCAAGTAAGACAACGACCAAAGCGAAAGATGATCTGGTAAGTTTCAGAATCCCAACAGAGTCTACCTCATCACTTCACAAATCTCAATTATCGGCTGCAGCTATCTTTACCAGCGATTCCTAGATGTCGGGTCAACATCTCAAACTGTAAGTAGAATCTATTTTGCACATCCTTAAGTTGATGTCCTCGCGGATTTGGGGAGCATCTCAATCAACGGCTCATTGCACCAGGATCGTTCAAGCCACTGCAAAATATCTCTTCTGAAGCAACAAAAATTGTTTGTTGAAGTTGGAAAGTTGAAAATTGTTTCAAAAATTCCAGCGTAGCCGCCCCTCGACTCAGTCTTTTCCTCAAAAAAACAGAAAATCGTTCTGGGGCATGGCTGCGACGCTGTCATCGGTTGTGAAGCTTGAGCAAAAAGTAAATAAATGAACCACGCATGAAAATAAAGTCACTCAATCTTGATTATAGTCCTTGAACAGAATGGACCTAAATACGCCATCTTGCCTTGTTATGGACTGCGAAAAACTCACAAGTTTGCGCAAAAGGATGCTGTTGATGACTTTCAAAAACTTCAAGATGAGTCCACAATAAGTGAGATGTAAATCTTTCTAAGCTGCGGCTCGACGATAAAATTGTGTATAACCTCCACCGATGCAGCTACTGCAACAAGGACATACATGATTTTATGAAATGAACGTCACATGAACGTCACGATGGTGCACATCAGCTGCTATCAAGACCTTAAGCGCCAAATATTATTTAAAAAATATTGACTTGCTACTAATGCAAAGAGCCGCTCGACCAGGCGCATCGCATTTTGCCTTGGACTTTTAAAATCTCGTTTACACAAGAAACTACTCGTTAATGCGTTAATTAAAAATGACGGGTGTGGAAGGGAACTCTTGATTGTTTCTATTGTACTGGAGTAACTTGGAAATGTTTCAATGCCCCAATAAATCAGTCAGCTTGGACTTGCCGAGTTTCTTGTTCGCCTTCTTCCATATGACAGCAAGAACACCAGTAGGCGTGAAAGCTTCATAAAGTAAGTATGCAAGAAACTGTTTAATCTTGACCTTGTGAGTAGAATTTCTTTCTTGACTTCTAACTCAAATGTTCAAGGGTTTCCACTTCCAGCATCAGAAATCCATGTCACAATAAATTCATCAAGAATCTTGTTCTCCATGCCGTTGGCCTTTATGCAGAAGAGCTATTGCAAACTAATCCGCGCACTTATGGACCACTCGACAAGCATAAAATCGCTGTTTTTCACTTTCCGGTCCTTGGTGATAAAGGTGTGTAGACTTGAAGCTAAAGCAGACAGGGCGGCAGAGTGAAGTAGGATGCACTGATGTACCATTCGAAATCGAGCAAAAATCTATGCCTCTCCGCTTTCCGAAAGAGGTAATGAAGTTATGGAGAATTGAAGAAGCTACGAAAGATATGTCTATGACTTTGCAGTGAGTGATGCAGCAACCACGTCTACTAAAAGTTGGTTTCGGTGTTCGTCTTTACGCCCATCGTGCGTGACGGACAGCGCGCAAAACGTAGGAAGTCTTCAGTGACCCACAACTAGCAGCATTATATACTTACCTTCTATGAATAGTGATCTGTAGTTGGAGGTATACAAGAAAGCAACACATATTATGGACTTATTTTTATTCCATGAGCGGCAAACGCGGTACTCAGGCTATGCACTAAGACGCCATCCAAGCTGGTAGCTTACATGATAAATAGAAGGAAGCCGAACTGCAGGTAAGTTGAGCCTTTAAACTTGAGCATCAGCTTTGCTTTTTGGTAAGTTAGTCAGAACCAGACGAATGCAGACAAAGCTGGACATTCCAGCTAATAATTCATATCCATCCTACTTTTAAAGGAGTGTTTAATAAAGATGCCGAGTAAAGAGTGCAGAACCATATATCAAGTTACATCTGACCCGAGGATACCAACGGAATAACTCTGAGACATACAGAAGAGGTGTGAGGACAAAAGACTCGTTAGATTGAAAACTTCCGTTTTACAGGGGAAGGATACTTGGATGCCGTAGCCATTCATAATGATTTGTATACCAAAAAATGCGCTTTTGAATGCTGGTTCGTAGACTGTCTTTCATATCTGCGAAACGATAATCTGAATGGAGTTATGATTTTTTTTTTCATTAAAAAAATTGCGTTCCTGCGGAGGGTCAAAATCATCAATAAAAAAATTTTCTCTCCTTTTCAAATGCTGAGTATGATCCAGATACTCTAAATAAATATTACTACGTCTAAAATTTTCTTCAGTAACATCAAACGGTAGGCTAGATCAAATCTGGTGATTTTTACTATCCAAAAGTAGGCTAAATTCTCAAGGAAAAAAGTTCATAACTTTCTTCAAAAGATCTTTTCGCAGATTTCGAGCACAGATTCAGAATCTGCATTCGAAGGCGCATTTTTTGGTACACAAACATTAGGAATGGCCGCGGCATCCAACTATCCTTCCCTTGTTAGATTGAAAACTTCCGTCTCATAAACGTTTATTATCCCTCTTAATAGTTTAACCGTTGGAGAAATGTTCTAATCATGCCGTCAAAGGCTTCTTCAAAATTGGTTTGTGGAGTGTAAACGTGCAATTCTAAAATGAATAGTTCAATTCCGAAACTTCAAGAACTAACTGTCAGACTGACCAAATCTTTGTTGACAAGCATTACTGAAGCAGTGTTGTCAAACTGTCCACAATAATTTGGCGCCGAAAAGATTGTGACAAGGTGTCGATCAGCAAAAAATTCGTATCCGTCTTGTACCACCTGGAACAAGATGTCGTCACTGATCAATCACGGATTGATTTATCAGTGGAACTTCAACCTGGTGCGCTCTGACAACTAAGTCAAGGCCGTGTAACTTGCAAAAGTTCTTCAATGCATCTGCACCAAAAATCCGAGCGGCCCCCCTGGGAGACTCCTCAAATCCGGATATGGTCGGATCGGGATCAGCCCATGTCAGATCGGCAATGACGCCTATATCGGGTATATCGCATGGTCGCTCGATCTTCTCAAGCTGAAAGAAATGAACTTCTCATCTCTCGTAGCCCTAAAATCAAACTCCGACCTGCTTGAAATCCATCAGTTCTTCGCTTATTCCACCATGCATACAAAGGATACGTTTTTCAACTCGTGCACAAAATGGCATCGTATAGAAAGCGTATTGGAAGCACTCGTACAATGTCGCTGAGTATCTGAAATTCAATGTGCAGCTCCCGGATGAGGTCCAGCTCAAGTGTCTACCTCTTTTTTATTTCCATATAGAAACCGTATTGCATATTCACTGGACGAGATTCATGATTACCTCTTAGCAGAGTGATATCGTCCGGATGAAGAACCTTCAAAAAGCAGTTCCACTATCATCTTTAGTCAGTCAAGCATACCGACCTTATAAGCAAAAAGTAGTACAATAACCTCAAGTGAGTATGGTCCACGATCGACATAATCCCCAAGAAACAGATACCTATAACGCTGGAGTTGTACTAACTGCTTTAGCGTCAATAAGTCTGGCCACAATTGGTCCCACAGGGAACGCACCAGAAGCTATAGCTAGCGTGTGGCCTAAGGCATACCTCTCGCGATTTCGCGAAATCGCCACATCCTCGCGACTTGGCGATTTGCCAGATGTCTGGAGTTTAAGCATGCGAGGCTGTCAGATGCATGGGTGCGTAGATTCCGTAAATTGTAACAAACACAGCAAGTCAAGCCCAAGCAAAGTGTTACGACTAGCTATGGAGAGTCGTTGCAGTGCCAAATCGCGCGGCGACTAAAATCGCGTGAGGTATACCTTAGGCCTCATGCGAGCTGACGCGACAGATCGTGGCAGGACCATGTATGTCCTCTCCGCGTCTCCTGCAGACTCTTGGCGGTAATTGTCACCAAGCGCTTTTGCAAAAGTGGGACAAACTGTACGTCAAAATGAACGGATCCGAACTTCTTCGTTGGTGGAAATCCATTTAGATGAAACAGAGCCAAAAGATCCTCATACTGTCCATGAATATCGCCACATATCTGCACAGGAGCAGTAACCTGAACCAATCGATATATCGATTCTCTTTACGCACAGACTGGGCAACCTCTATCATAGTCTTCTGGCTCCAGAAGGTTTCTCTGGCACGGTAGCAAAGTTCAATAAGCTCAGCTTCGGTAAACAGTGACTGGCACAAAGCCGGTTTCCAGTCCTTGGTGAGTCGATCGATAATCGATTGCAGCCATCGTCGGATCTGGAGCATGGCTTGGATGAAGTTGGCATTGGTGCGACCATTTGGCATGGGAGCACCTTTTCCTTGCGTTCGGTCCTCTTCTTGTCGGCCATGGCGAGTGTGTGCGCGAGCTGTTGCTCGTGCACAGAGTTACAAAATGAAGCATACCCTAATCAGAGTTGGCAGTGTACTTGAGAAAATAAATATTGATGTTTTCAGGAGGATTACGGTAAGGCTTGTCGGAGAAGTCTCAGTCAATGATTGTCTTTGCAGCGAGCTGTTCTACTGTAAAATGCTTGGGAAAGTAAACTTCTAGCAAAGTTCACATATTCTTCATCCGTAATGAGGTCTTTCTTAGTGACCACTGAGCACTCAAATCATTCTGGGACTTCCCGATCATTTCGCTGACACGCCGATCTGTTGTAATATCGCAAAATGCTGCATTCCTGCGCACTTCAAAGATTGCCGATCAGAAATTGCAAGTTGCAGCGATGACGGTGGAAGATTTGCGTGCTATAATTATTGCCTTTGAATGAGATCGCCGATATGCGTCACGAAAGCGAAAGCAAAAAATTTCAACCCCTCGTCGATTCTCAACATTCCATGCCTGGTCCCACGGTTCAGTAGAAATTTCGCAACTCTGACACATAGAACCAGTTGCGGTTCTTTTCTTTGCAACATCTTTTTTTCTACTATTTTTTCTGCACACCCTACACCAACTTGCACTCTTCTATTGTGTAAAAGGCTTTGCACAACTGGATACCAGTCTGTCAAATCTATTTCTGCGAGCACTTTCTTTTCAAAGGCACCTACTTTTCTTTCATCAGAGCTCTCACAGCTCTCAAAACACCAAGTCTAACTTATCCAGACACGAAGTTACCCAGCAAAAGAACACTACCTAGATTATTCATATTCTTTTACACTTACATAAGGTAGGATTTACTTGCAGAAGTGAACCGAAGTTTTTGCAGATACTTTCCGGTTTGAGCGATTTTCGAGATTATTAGGTTGGCTCGGAGAAACTCAGACGGTGCATTTCGACAAAGTTTTTGTTTAAACGTAAGCACTCACTGGGGCATACTGCACAACGTTAGATAGAGGTAAGCAATCTTCACAAATTATGTTAAGCACAAGATCAATCACCCCAAAGAAGTTGTTATGATGGTTCTCAAACTTTTTGCGACCCATGACCCCGAAAGAAAATTTTACAAGGCTAATATAGAATTTTTAAAAATCCAAAAATTATTTTAATCACTTACACATTAATCATTTACAAGTACAAGCAAGTCGATTATCGATACATTTATCTGTTAATATGCCATACTTTGGCAAACTTCGAACTTTGTTGATCTCGGTGTTGGGTCGCAGAACGGAGTAGCTGTCAAAAGCTTCTTTATGAAGGTTTCAGGTTTGTTTCTGTCACAGAATTTGCTGTGGGAGATTGTTCTTCAGAGATTCAAAGAAGAAGAGTGTGTTCACACATTGATGCATAAAAAGTAGTCAACTTTAGGCCCTGGCTATACCTCACGCGATTTCAGTCGCCAAGCGATTTGGCAATGCTATTTAATCACATTTTGAATTCATATAATCTATGACATTTTATCAGCTTGTAAGAGTTAGATATACGCGTACTGTCAAACTCTATTAATAATGGATACGAAGATATCTGGCAGACTGCCAAATCGCATGGCTACTGAAATCGCGCTAGGTATGGCCAAAGCCTTAAGCGAATTGTGTTTGATAACCTACTAAACTTTTCTAGCCACACGATCATCTCACTAGATTGTGTAAGGCTAATTTTATGAGTTAGCCCCATAATTAAGTTGTTGTATTCTGGACTAATAACAAAAGCTCCGCTCGCTATTCTCATTCAATGTCGCTAGCGCAAAAAGTGACCCAAAAGTCAAGTAGCTCGATGCATTTTGTAAGTACGTTCACTGATAAAAATTAGTGCCCCCATTCTGCCGTCAAGTTTATAAACACATAAATAGCGCCTGGAATGGGGTGATGGGAAGTTTTATGAAGGTGCGAAGGGTGTGCCGGCGTTGTTGTTGACATCTTTTTTGTTTACGCTGTTGTTTTGATCGTTTGATCAGCTCGCGAAAAAACTTCTCACACCCAATCTTCTCCAATTTCTGCTCTCCCCCTCCCTCCCCCTCTCCCTCCAATAGCAAATCTTTTTTTTTTTCGTAGCATTTTTTGCATAGAATCAGCAAGTTCTTTGAAGTTATTTACCCTTTCTGCTGCTCGACGATCCTTCAGTTCCTATTGTCATTAATTTTGCTCCATAAAAAGTGTAAGTCATTAATTTTTCCTTATAGCCTACCGGTTTCCGCAGCTTGATGGATGAGTGTGTGTTTGTTGCCCTATCTCATGTCAGGAGTTCTTCGAAGAAAAAACTGTGATTTCCCACCAAGGACATGTGTAACAAATCAGAAAAATCTAAGTGCAAAGTGTACGCTCTAAGAACATTCTTGTCCCATTTCTTTGCAAGTTTTACCACTTCTGCAAAGATCACCTGCATCTGAGGCAAATGTGCATCTATGTTGTTTCAAATTAAATATTTTTTGCTAAAATTGTCACTAAAATTCACCATACAAAATGGGAATATTTGTGCTACCCAATGGCTACGTATATTTTGTTCAGCATTTTCCAATCATGAATCCATCTTATCGAAAGTGTTCGCTTGCATCTGTTGACCCAGCTCAAACAGGTGCTGGGAGCTAGTCAAATAGGATACGATCGCATAGGCCTTGCTCTGATGCTATTTTTTATTTCGTACAATGGTCACACTGGATATTTTAGTCTCCGCAATATTTATTTTATCTGCTACGCTTGATCCAAAAAAAAGCACTCAAATCTCGAAGTTTTCCGGTTCATTTCATTGGCATTCTGACATAACTATATCGGCTATGAGTTATCGTAAAGCAGAGGTTTTACGGAGCAATTTAGCAGTAATTCAGATTCATTTTTTAACGTCTAGATAATCTATCTTGCTGTCGGTAAGGATCTTGTATGCTATTACCTCAACTGTTAGATTTGTTCAAAGAATCTCATAACAAGGGGAGGGAAAGGAGCGAGAGAAGGTTGTACGTCGAACTAGGAAAAATGTGAAGACGTATATAGATGTGGCCAAATGCTCAATTTATTCTATTTATCTCATGAGTTGGGTTTGCCGCGACTTAATGAGTGCGGAAAAGACAATCTTATTTATTTATTTATTTATTTATTTATTTATTTATTTATTCATTAAAATGCACATCTGCATGCTCTTAAAGTAGTCAAAAGAAACAGCATGTGTCTAGGCAATACAGTAGTCCAACTTTCAGTAATTCACTTTGTTTACAATTTTCAACCTGAGTGACTTTATCTCGATTGGTTCATTTTCATTGTTTTGTTTTTACTGTGAACCAATGGAACACGTGCGTGTTCCCATTCAATAAATAAATAAATAGATAAAAATTTGAAAAAAAGCTAATCGCAGACATCACAAGTGTTTAGTGTGTATCTCATCACAATAAAGCACAATAGCAATTCATTTTGATTGACAGCCAACTACCTTTTATGATAAGTAGGTGCTGACGTGAAGTCGTAAAATTACGTGAATAATTCAGTTAGCGCGACTTTTTGTCTTACACTTTATTTGTTCTCGAAACAGGATTGAGAATGTAAAGTTGGGACACGACAAAGCCATCAATCAAAGTGCAATAAAGAAATTTTATTTCGCTTTGCTTTTGAATTCTTGGACTTTGAAAAAATGATTTATGGAAATGTGTGACATCTTATCTCTGGATTTCGAAAAAAAGCAGTTGGTAAACCGCACAAGCACTCGAAAGCCATTTATCAAAACAAACAAGTGATCTATTTCTATCTTGCGCGTTCAAATGATAGCTTTCCAAAAATTTGATCTCTTGCTTTTATAAATTTTTCAACACGATGATTATCGATTTTGTAAAAAATCAGCCTTTTTTTCAATCTGCTAAAATACTTGAAGGCCCTTTCTCGTTGTGTGTGGGAACGTTAATCCTAATTTCATTTCTATAATCTTCTTAGTCGACAAGTAATTTCGTCAGCAGCACTATTCACAAGTGTGTGAGCCTATTTTAGATTAAGGCATCAAAAATCAAACTTATGTGCTTTCCAGACAAAACTAATTAAGAATGCATCAATATCAAATCAACATACGAGATAGAAGTACTAAACCACGTTATTTTTACTCCCCATCTGGATATTTGAGAGGATTTGCTCTATCAATTTTTCAAAAACTCACACATTCATCGTATATTCCATTTCACCCCTCCAATTATTTTATTGCATTTCGGCTCTACTGACAACAATTAAAAATGTATCACTATCAATATAACATGTGCTCACGGTTAAATTTTTGATAAACATTGACTATTTAACATTTGATGTGTATATCTTGGCGAGTTTCGCAAAAGTTTGCAAATTTTTGGCTGTTTTTCAGTTTTCATTCCCTACCAAAGTTATTTTCACTCTTCGAAGTCAAGAATTTCGACGTTATTACAAGCCCTGGCCACCTCCTCCCCTCCCCCTCGTGACGTCGTCAATCACGCCGTCGTGACGGCGACAGTTAGCCGCACGTGGTGGCGGCCTCGACAGCAGCCGGTTCCACTCCGGTGACGCCATCGACCACCCGAGGAAGTCGTACGACGCGAACGCGTCAGGTGAGCTGAGCCGATCGCTTTTTTCTCTTCGCGTAAGTGCAGATTTCTCTCCCTCATAGTCGGGTGATCTCTAAAAATTGCGATGGCGAAATTTTTTTTGCGCTTTGGCTGTCTCAATGATATGCTTTCAAATCTTGGTTAAGTGAAACTCGAGAATCGTGCTTATGAAAAAAAGCTTAGCCAGCCTGAGCTTTCATCTTAGATTAATGATTACATAGATGAGGTTGAGAGGAAATTATCTCAAACAGGAGAATATACTTTGTACCCTACAGTGACATATTTTGCTCTGTTTTCACTTATTTTGAGCTGTTGATGCGCTCATTTTGCACCTAACTCGTCAAAAAAAATTCTGTTTATGCGCATATTTTTGTAGAATGATGTACTGGTTGATCCCTGCAAATATTGTAAGACTTGAAAAATCACAACATCTACTATGGCTTTTTCTATTTGCTCAAAGTGATCTCTGACTCGTGGTCAATGT